GGAACCATGAGAACTTCATGATTCATGAGTGCATGCTTCAATCGCTTGAAAGCACCCTCACACTCATCACTCCAGTCCCACGGCGTGTCAAGTCGAGTTAGATCGGTCAAAGGAGAGGCGACTGTAGAATAGTTCTTTATGAAGCCTATAGTAGCCGCACATTCCTAAGAAAGATCTGACCTCAGTGACTGTTTGAGGTCGTGGCCAGTCTCAAATACTAGCCACCACAGATACTTCATGACCCAAGTATAATATCTTAGTGCGTCCGAACTCACACTTCTCTAGGTTGACCTTATACTTGTGTTGTCGCAGGAGTGAAAGTAGAGTCTCAACGTGGTGTGCATGCTCCTCGGCAGACTTACTAAAGATCAGAATGTCGTCAAGGTAAACCACGACAAAGTTATCTAAATGGTCATGGAAGATCCGATTATGGCGTGCTGGAATGTTCCCGGCGCATTGCAAAGACCAAAGGGCATCACTACAAACTCATACAGACCATATCGAGTCTGAAAAGTTGTCTTGTGTTGGTCCTCAGGTCTTATAGCGATCTGATGATAGCCGGATTTCAAGTCTATCTTGCTATAGTACTTGCATCCYTGCACCCTATCCARTAGGTCGTCTATGCGAGGTAGAGGCTCTGCGTTCTTCACAGTGATGGCATTGAGGCCTCTATAGTCAATGCACATCCTCAATGTACCCCCCTTCTTTGGTACGAATAGTATTGGCGATCCGTAAGGGGAAGTACTAGGCCGGATCCATCCCTTCTCTGTCAGCTCTTTTAGTTGTCGCCGGAGTTCATCTAACTCGGCGGGAGCCATCCTATAGATCCTCCCCTTTGGGGTTTCACTCCCCGGGATGATTTCTATAGCGTGGACAACTTCCCTTTCTATGACCCCTGTAGGCTCTTCGAACAGATCAGGGAACTTAGCAACGACGCGTTCTATCTCTGGGGGTGTTTTAACGGCCTCCCCTTTCTCAAAGACATACACTAGGTACATACCCTCCTCTTGGTTTTGCTTATAGTAATTGTAGAATGTTGATGCACACAAGCAGCCATAGGTATCTATAATGCTACTGGCTTTGAACTTAGTCAATCTGACAGTTTTGCCATCGGGCAACTTATGTTTGAGCACCTTCTTATCCCAGTCGAACTGGGGCTTAGCAACCTCAAGGTAGTACATGCCTAACAACATGTCAATCGGTAAATCGTCGCTAACCAGAAACGAAATCTTATGATTAAGTTCCCCTTCTCCATAGGAGAAGGTACAAACTACATTCGGGATATATTCTGTGACTATCATGCGCTCCTTGTTGGCCAAAGTAGATGCTACTGGTCTACTAAGGTGCCGTACCCGGTCCTGTAGGTGCAGCCTTTCCAAACAGTCGCGACTTATGTAATTCCGCGTGCAGCCATTGTCTATGAAGGCACCACATTTGCGGCCTCACACATCGACTTCCACCACGAAATGTTCCCCTCTAGGACCTTTCTTTAGCGCCACCCAAGACTCGCGAGGGTCCTTGTTTGACCACTCGCTTTCCAGATCTTCTAAGGCTTCAGACACATCTAACGTACAGAGCATAGTTTGGTCTAGATGTGTCTGCGGGGTGATAAAGAGTCATTAGCTTTGGCCTGCTCATGAAGTGGGGAGGGTATCAGACCCACTTCAACTTGAGTAGAAGCAGCTAAAACTTCCACCGGCCTCACATGTTTCCCGAGCTAGAAGCCTGGGAAGAAGATGCCCCCATCTTAGGAGGTATCTTCTGCGTGACCTTTGCATTTTGGCACTTGTACTGGGTGTGTCCGTATTCACCACAGTTTATACAAGCGCCACGCACTCAGCGGTCCCGCGACACGTCTTGATCAAGACCTGCCTTGACCCAATCAGCCACTTTGGTCTGATTGGAGGCGGCCTTCCCTTGACTCTTTGGTTGGCCCTTCACTCGGTCACCAGCCTTAGCCTTGACTACTGCGGCGAGGGTGCTACCCTCAGTGGTCTCCTCGTCGTCGTACTCTGAAACGTCCAGCAGGTCTGTGAGCTCATCGATCTCTGTTTGAGTCCCATCGGACTCAACCATCATCAACTTCGCCCCCTTCTTCTTCCATTCCTGCGAACTCTTCTTCTTCCTCGCATCACTCTGAGAGGGTTGAGCATTTCCTAGAGTGGCCTTCAAATCTAGGGCTTTCCTAGACAACGTCTCAAAGGAGTGATACTCGAAGCGTGCCTCGTGGGCCAGCAAGTTCCTGAGGTTTTCGGGAAGACATCTGACAAACGTAGTCAACAGGAACTGGTCTCTATAGTTAATGCCTGGAACGACGATAAGGCTCTTTATGGTAGTCGTAAGCTCTCTGACTAACTTAAACTTTGGTCTAGTCTGTTGATCGCATCAGTGGCTATTTGGGCCTGCTGAGGATTGTGCCAGCGCGCTTCTACCATCTCAAAGAACTGGTCTAAAGTAATAGACTGAGCCCAGTCCGCCATACGTCCTCCATACCCGGCCTTTAAAACTATACCATCTAGCCATTTGGCTGCCCTACCCTCAAGGTAAGATGCAGCAGTAATCACCTCCTCCTTTGGCAAGGTCCTCTTCGCCTTCACCCAAACCGGAACTATTCTCAACCAAGTGTTGAGTTCTTCGTCCTTCCTTTCGCCTGAGAAGGCAAGAGGCGGTTTCATTGGGGTCTTAGGGTACCATTGACCTTGCGGCTGTCCCTGTTGAGGAATAGGCTGCTGCAGTGGTGTAGCTCCCACCGTTGGACCTGAAGAAGAAGAAGCAACAGTCTGTGCAACTGCTGCAGACGTGCCACTTGGTTGTGTGCCAGCTTGAGCGGGAAAGGGGTCTGACATCGCCGTTAACGGCAACGACGATTGTGCTGGTGGTCTAAATCCTGGCCTTGTCAGAATATTCAGGATCTGGTCTAGAGTGCTCTGCATGAAGTCCAATCTGCTGTCCACGTGCGCATGCAACGACAACATATTGTTCTTCAGTACTTTCATTTGGTCAGATAGTCCTGACTCATCCAAGCCCTCTAGTTCAGCTTTGTCAGCCGCTAACGTATCAAGCCTGGCTGTTCTAATTTTAATCTCTCTTTCTTTGTCGGTTGCTTTCTTCAGGTCTCTCTCCAATTGTTCACGAATCCTTTCGACCTGAGCTCTCTTAGCTCCCTTTCGCGTGGGGTCAACGGGCTGAACTGTGAGCCTGCCATCTGACTTGTAGACTGTCGAGTTCCTAATGAACCTGTGGGCATTCCCAACTGGGTCCCATTGGTCCTAGACAAAGCCGCAGAGGATGCTGCTGAGCTAGTCATGCCTGCTGCCCTGGCTGCTGCTGCAGCCTGTTCCCTAGCTGCGGCGTTGGTTGTTTCCCTAGCTGTTGCTAGTGCATGGGCTCTACGTTCGGCACGCAACCGTCCTTCTTCTCCCGGTGCCAGGGCCCGAAACACGTGCGGGATCCTTCGTGATCTCGAACGTGTCAGTCTAGTATCGTCACCTAGTCCCACATCGATGTCTGATTCGTTCATCAATTAGGCAGACATTATATGCACTAGAACCCCCTAGTGGAGTCCTACCACAGCATGTGTCTGACCTACACCTAATTTTCTAAAAATAGTTGTGTCCGGCACCGATCAAGTGGCAGCCTACAACATTCACATCAGATTGTCAACATAGTCTATGTGTATCCTGATTGGTTCACTTAGAGCAGCAATAGATAGAACTGGCTATGGTAGCATACAACAGTCCTAATCTAATCTGTCTGTGAGGTGTTAGCAGTCTGTCCACCAACTAATCAAGAATATAAAAAGACAATGTTGCAGATTTATGAATGGTGGGTATTGTTGTGTATCCGGTTGAGCATCAATTAGAACCTACCCTTCCCCTCAATCCAACATACCGGTAAGCATCATTGAGCAAGCGGTGTCTTCGTGTGTGTGTCGGCCCACCCCTGTGCCCAAGTCGTTGCCGAGCAAGCCAGCCAGTCCACTCTTATTTACCCTCGTACGGAACGAGCCTTACACCCGGTTGATCTGGCTGATCAGGAGGAATATTGAGAGCGCCCCCATGTCTTCAGGAATTATTTAACGTCGCAGTCAGGACGACGGTCACAGCCAGAATCAACCAAGTCCCCAACCAGAAATGTTTATAGACGGTCTGGTAAGCGTCTCATAAAAGGCTGGCACACCCGGTAGGACTTCTATTCAGCGCAGCAAGTGCCAAAATGGACAGAAGCCATCGCATGCGTGACCTACTCCCATTGGCTTGGCATGGTGACCGTGACCCAGTGTTTCGATCAGGGCCCTTCAGAGGCACCGCCCTTTCTCCTTCTAGATGCTTCCAGGAAGATTGTCGTCTCTCAAGGTAGCGCGCTCACGACACCTCACCAAAAGAGAGGACTCTCAAGTTGGACTCACTTCCTCACGGTAAGAAGACATTGAGAGAGTAGATAAGGTAAGGGAACAACGTACCTGGAGATAGCTGCCCCCGACCACAGATTTCTCACCAATTGAGCTGAGTGTGCATTTGATGACCGGTCTTGGCCTCGGTACCACCCACAACGCAATGCAGTGCCACCTCAGCCGAATGCCACATAAGCATGCTCTCATCACCAATCATACATTCCACCTGTCACCACGGCATACACTGTTGTCTTAGCCTTCCGGCGCACCCCTCTCTACCCAGGGCATGCGCCTATGTGGCCTGGCGTCACAAGTACCAACTGCGAAGAAGCATCTTCAACGCACCAAGTCTGTATAACGCCAACGTGCCAAAGGTAAGTGGCGAATCAAATCAGCTCCGATACCAAATTGCAAGGAACATGAATATGGACGAAGCACGAAAATCCAGATTGCAAAATCACACTGAAGTCCAAGTAGTCAAAGCAAGAGCAGATACCACAATGGAACCGAGTAACCATCCTTTATAGAATGATACAGAAGAATCGTGAGTCAATGTCCAAGCCCAACAGGGCAACACCAACAACATAACCCAATGTAGCTCTCTCTTCTGAATGGCTCCAGGCGCCCTATCTACTCTATAGCCTAAGCCTACAACTACAGCAATGAAAGCAACCAGACAACTTGACGACCAGCGAGTGATGATGTCAACTCCAATGCCGACCTCCACCTCCACCAGGTACGTCTCTCTCCTTCACCCACACTCTCCCTTGTTATCCCTCACAGCGCCCTTCACCTCCGAAGAACCACCTTCGCCCTCACCTCCCCTACGCCCTCAGGCAGCCCGGCTATGGCCGCCAGCGCCCTGCGCACATAGGCAGCGCCCTACCGCTTTAGCGCTAACCTGCTCCCTCAGCCTTAGCGCTGCACAGCAGCTCGCGTTCGCGCAGCATGCCGGCAATGCCCGCCCTGGCCAAGATCCTTGCCCACTCGCCCTGCTTGCCTATATGCCATTGTTGCGTGTGGGCGGCCTCCCTTCAGCCTACGTCTGGGCCTCAGTGCCTGAACCCAGGCCCGATGCAGTTAAGGCCCAGGATGCAGTTGCGCCTCTTTCGTCACGGCCTGCGGCCAGATTCAGATAGTGGGCCGATTTCCCATTGGCATTTTCGGCCTCTATACCCAGCATGCATTGTCGGCCTCTCGTTCAAGTGCCCAGGGCCTAACCAACTCAAAGGCCCTGGGATTTCCGCATTTGCAGAGATCCGAGACTCGGTGCACTCCAACCAACTGGTGTGCTGCAACTGTATGGACCCCACTTCGTGAAATGTTTGCACAGAGGGCTCTTGTTGATTTGTTGGCCCGCCTTCACTTAGGGCGGGCACAAGGCTTGCTGGGGCCTTAGCCCAGAACATGTACATCATGGCAAGGCCCCTTCTTGAGGACTCAATCCTCACAAAACGAATCAAGAAACTATATAAATTTGCATAACTTTTGAACAAGACTGCCGAAATTAATTCTGATCTCGGCGTTGGGAGAAAAGAAGATGAAGATTAATCCTATTGAATTAGATTGAAATTCTGAATGGCAGAATGGACGGCATTATCAGGCAAGCACAAAGAAGGAAGATACGTGTCACACGTAGTAGGAATTTTGGATGATGCGACCAATTAGGTGGGAGGGTGGAGGAGAGAAGGGGTGTTGGAGAGGAGATAAAAGATGGGAAAAAAGATGAGATCTTTGAGAGAGACCGACGAGAGGAAGGGAGGGGATTAGTAGGAGGGAGATAGATTTGACAATACTGCGCTCCCGGTCGGCCGGGAGCAATCAAGGTCCTTCCTCCTAGTCGAGGAAGGTCTTCAACAACCCCTAAAGGGTCCCCTCGGTCGTTCCCCCGGTGGAACGACGAGGTCGCCGGAGCAAATGCGCGGACTGATGATGATGAGCCAATGTAATGGTGACGTAATGGCGCCGGATCAAATGCGCGATGATGATGATGATGATGATGATGATGATGATGATGATGATGAAGGTAACTTTTTTGACACGTGTAGCTTGAAGTCCTGAAACGCTGCAGGATCGAAAGGCGAAGCTCTCACAATTTTTATTTTTATTTTCTAAAAGTGTTGTAGAGGTGTCGGGGGTTATGACCCAGGGAGGATRTCCGCCAGAGGGCTTTCCGCGCCGGGGTCAGCCCTACTGACGGTGCAGCGGGCCCACCCACTTACCCAGTGATCTGTCAAGGAGGGRACTCACAAYCCTCGCTACCCACCCGGGAGTTTCCGCCCAGACCGGCGCTACCAGGCGGATGCGTCGGGGGTCACCCAACACCCACTCAGGGCTTCACCTCCCTGCGGCTCCACGGCCGGGAGGCGTAAGCACCACAGCCACCGTGGTGCTACAGGGACGCGCCAATCCCTGCTAGGCGAGGGGTGACCCCCTCACTCCTCCCGCACGCGCCAACAGAGCCTGCCCCTCCCGGAGCCACTCCCCCCCCATGGCCTCGACAACCCCAAGGGGAGGCACGCGCTCAACCGTTGCGGGAACCCAGGAAGTACGGTTGGGTTGTCAGCATCTAGTGGGCACCCTTGCAGGTGGCTCCCCAAGTCCAGTGCTGAGCGGTTGTACCCCAGTGTACATCCGTGCCCCTGGGAGCGTGTGAGTGGTAGTGCGTCAACCTAACACCGTGCCGACAGCATATGCACGAGGTTGCGGATTTGAACCCGCAACCTCAGACCACAATGTGCATTTCCAACCGCTGCCCTAACCACAAGGCCATCCGCCACTCACGCTCTCACAGTTTGTATTCGTACTGGAAATCAAAATCAAATGAGCTTTTGTCCTTTTTGCTCCAACGAGGTTGCTATTCTCGTTGAGCTCATCGTAGGACACCTGCGTTATCTTCTATCAGATGTGTCGCTCCACTCGATGGTCGCGTCGTGCAAGTGCGCCCGCGAGAAAGGTAGGTGGGTGGAGGGAGCGGCAGGGTGATGATGACTTGGCAGGGGATACAGGGTCGGGATTGGGGCGGGGATGTGGCCGGGAGCAGTGCGCAGAGGGGTATGGGGCCGTGGGGGGGGCGGTTTCAGTGTGGGGGGGAGCAAAACGCGCTGTAGCGGGATCGGGCGCGTAGCGGGATGGCAATCGGGGTAGGGGGAAGTCGGGATCCGAGGGGGTTCGGAGGGGAAAAGTCCGGGTTGTGGGGGGGGAAGAGTGGAGGGAGAACGGGGGGGAATCGGGATCGGAGCGCAGGTGGGGGGATGGAGGAGCGGGGGAGCGGGATACGGCCCGAAGCCAACGGACAGGCCGAGCAAATGAATAGAGTTGTACAGCACTTGCTGAGGCATTACATCAAGCCCAACCAGGATGATTGGGATGAGAAGTTGCCTCTCATCGCCAGCCTGTACAACAACGCTGTACACAGCAGTACCGGCGTTAGTCCTAACCAGCTGCACTTGGGATGGAAGCCTAGATCTGCTCTAGACTTCCTCCTACCTGAAAACCGATCCTCTGCAACTCCAGCCACACTTGAGTATGGTGTGCAGTATGAGAAATTGTTGCAGCAAGCGGTCGAGCATATTAAGAGAGCTCAGCAAGCAATGATTGCTTCTGAGAACAAGCATCGACGACAGTCCTCATTTCAGGTAGGGGAACGTGTCTGGGTCAACGCTAGTGAGCGAGGACAAGAATTCGGTATCTCTAGAAAACTAATGCCTCGGTACTTTGGTCCTTGGGAAGTCCTGGATGTAGTGGGGGATGAGATGGATGGTCCCACATATGTTATCCGTGTCCCTGGACATCTACGCACTTACCCTGTCTTTCATGCCTCAAAGCTTGCAACTTTCGCTGAGACGGATCAGTTCCCTTCAAGGAGATCGATGCTGCCCCCAACCATGGATGGTCAAGTGGACATCGACGACATCGTGGATCACAAAGATCTGTCTGTTTAGAAGCCATTGGGTAGAGGAAGACCTCCTAAACCCAAGAGAGAATACCGCGTCAGAATCAGGCATCATACGGATCCAAAGGAAGACCCGTGGTTCACCAGAGAGGAACTGATTGACACAGTTCCTCAGGTGGTGGCAGAATATGAGAGGATGCTGAAAGAGAAGGCATCTGCGAAGTAAGCATCTTAGCGGACTTTCGAAGCTAAGGGGGATGGAATGTGAGGATTGAGCCCTCAAGAAGGGGCCTTGCAATGATGTACATGTTCTGGGCTAAGGCCCCAACAAGCCTCGTGCCCGCCCTAAGTGAAGGCGAGCCAACAAATCAACAAGAGCCCTCTGTGCAAACATTTCACGAAGTGGGGTCCATACAGTTCCAGCACGCCAGTTGGTTGGAGTGCACCGAGTCTCGGATCTCTGCAAATGCGGAAATCCCAGGGCCTTTGAGTTGGTTAGGCCCTGGGCACTTGAACGAGAGGCCGACAATGCATGYTGGGTATAGAGGCCGAAAATGCCAATGGGAAATCGGCCCACTATCTGAATCTGGCCGCAGGCCGTGACGAAAGAGGCGCAACTGCATCCTGGGCCTCAACTGCATCGGGCCTGGGTTCAGGCACTGAGGCCCAGATGCAGGCTGAAGGGAGGCCGCCCGCACGCAATACTGGCATATAGGCAAGCAGGGCGAGTGGGCAAGGATCTTGGCCAGGGCAGGCATTGCCGGCATGCTGCGCGAACGCGAGCTGCTGTGTAGCGCTAAGGCTGAGGGAGCAGGCTAGCGCTAAAGCGGTAGGGCGCTGCCCGTGTGCGCAGGGCGCTGGCGGCCATAGCCGGGCTGCCTGAGGGCGTAGGGGAGGTGAGGGCGAAGGTGGTTCTTCGGAGGTGAAGGGCGCTGTGAGGGATAACAAGGGAGAGTGTGGGTGAAGGAGAGAGACGTACCTGGTGGAGGTGGAGGTCGGCATTGGAGTTGACATCATCACTCGCTGGTCGTCAAGTTGTCTGGTTGCTTTCATTGTTGTAGTTGTAGGCTTATGCTATAGAGTAGATAGGGCGCCTGGTGCCATTCAGAAGAGAGAGCTACATTGGGTTATGCTGTTGGTGTTGCCCTGTTGGGCTTGGACATTGACTCACGATTCTTCTATATCATTCTCAAATGGATGGTTACTCGGTTCAATTGTGGTATCTGCTCTTGCTTTGACTACTTGGACTTCAGTGTGATTTTGCAATCTGGATTTTTGTGCTTCGTCCATATTCATGTTCCTTGCAGTTTTGTTATTTAATTTCAAAATCCAATTTCATTTCAGAAATTCGTGAAATAAATTTCGGAATTCACTACAAAGAATTCTCCCAATGACGAATTTCCTTCTATTTTCTTTCTCCCGTAAAATTCCGAAATTCCTCCGTTGTTTTTGAAATCCTTTTTGAATTCTTTTGAAATTTCTTTGAAATTCATTTTAATCTTGTAACAAGTCAAGAAATTTTATTCATTTAATCTAGACAATCCTGGAATTTCTCTCAACTTACTTTACGCGGCAATCACTAATTCTTTTTGAAATTTCATCGTAAATTCTGAATTTAGGAATTAGTTTTCTACTTCTATTTCAAATTGCCTTTGAAATTCTTTTAATTTCGAAAATACGTTGAGGAATTTTCCATTTCATTTCAAAATTTTCCTATCAGCTCATCTCTACACCTTTCATCATCGCCCTGAATTCCTGAAAATTTTTATGAATAATTGTAAACTTCTTTGAATTTTGCTTAAATTTCTTCTAAATTCTGAAATTACGTCCAAATACTTTCGGAATTTTATTTTGAACTCGTGATTGTCTTATGCATGCTCTCGTCTAAACCCCACACTATTCTTTGAAAATTTCCTCTCATTTTCTTCCCCGAATTGGAAATTTTCCTCTTTTTCCCTCACTCCGACTTTGAATCCTCTTGATTTAATTTTGGAAGTTCGTCAGACCTCATTTATACTCGCCTTCCTCTCGCAGTCCCTTACTCCTCTTTCTGCGTACCAACCTGGCTCCCCGTGACATCCATCAGCGTGCACTCCAAAATCGCGTCCG